CACACACACACACACACACACACACACACGCATATCCGCATCCACTGCACCGAGAAACGCAAATGGAGGAGAAGACTCTCCATAAGACGCGCGCGTCCAGATGGAGGAGATTAAACTACAGACATCGGGCTTCAATGCGTCACGTCGGCGTCATGCTTTACAGTGATGCAGGCGCGCGCGCGTCGCCCCCTCGGCTGTAGTCAGGAATGGGCTGCGCAGCGCCATTACAGACCACCCCACTCCTCTCGGTTCATTCATAAATACCAGAGGATCGCCATCTCACAGCGGCCCCCGCCGCTCCGGCAATAACGAAACAAATAATCTTAATAAAAATCATGACAGCTCCATCATCTGCCACGCGCTCCACCCGCGCGGCTTCACGCGCTTCTCTAAACGCACTAAGAGTCGTGGTGATGGATTTGAGCCAGTGTGGAATAAGACGCATAAATGCAGACGGGTGATGGAGGTGGACAGAGATCCTGCGCGCGCAGCAGCTATAGGCAGGCTAGGCACGAGGACCGCGGCTTCTAACAAACCCCAGCATCTTTAAAACCTTTGCGTAAAACAACAACAACAACAACAACAACAAGCTGATCTCTACTGACCGTGATGTGGCAGCTCCGCTTCAGGCGCGTCCTCGACGGGATGGAGCAGAAAACGTCTTAAAACATTTTACGCGGCTTCATGTGCAGCTCATGTCGTCCGAGCTCCAACACCACACACACACACATTCACACACTCACACACACACGCACTCCTGTTCGCAGATAGGACGTGGGAGGCGCTCTGCTGTGCCCACACCGGCTTTCCTTCCACTTTCAACACTTCCTGCTGCCAGAGCGCACAAACAAACAAACAAATAAATAAAGATGAAACAATTCATCCTTAAAGTCACCACAGCTGCGCTCATGATCCATCAGTGAATATTTAGGACCCTGTAAATGCATTTATGTGCCAGAGCCATTTTACATGATCACCCGCCACAGAAAGAAGGCGGATCTTTTCCTTCCTATGTTTGTCTGTTAGCAAAATATCTCATAAACTACTGAATTAATTTGAATGAAAACTTCAGGAAATATCCATTGGATGATCAGCTGTTTACCTTTAGGAGTCCACCCGATTCAAAATGGCCGCCACAACTAAATGAAGTTAAAAAACCCAAAATGGCCATAACCCATAAAATTATACAGTTGATCTATTGGCGCGGTAGCTGAATGTCCAGAAGACATAATCTGAGGGCTATAGATGGCGTTGTTTAAACATTGTGCCGTTCACTGTCAGCTGTTAGCAAAATATCTCATGAATCGCAAGTCGGATTTTAATGAAACTTTCCCAAACTCATGGTTGAGTGTTCTTCTACAACTGATTACTCTTTAGAGCTGATTCGTTTCAAGATGGCTGCCACAGCTAATCAACATGGGCTCAGTTCATGTGACAGAAATCAAACTAGAATTTGATGTGGTAGTAGCTGAGGCGCATCAACAACACGTGCTCTGAGCGTGACACCTTGTGAGCGTGGCACGATTTAAATGTCATTTCTCAGCACAAGATGATTTCAGGCGCGAGACATTCCTTTAAGGGATCCCTTAAATTAACTTCCATCAATGTTTTAGCCGTTTTCTTTTGGAGCTTCAGACGTGAAGTTGTTTTTGTTGAATGACTGATCAGCACCACGGACAGCGGCAGAAGCTGCAGCGGTGTCTCCACCATCATCCACATGGACTCGGTCAGGAACGCGCAGGAAAGAAAAATGAATCATAAACGCTCACTGGTGATGCTCCGTGCACCGGAAGTGTGTTAACGCATCAAAAAGAGCGCGCGTCAATTCACACCAAGCTCCGGTCATTTGAGTTCAAATTGTCTTCATGCCACCTGCGCCATGTAAATACCGCGTTTAAACCTTTGCACGGCCCCCCCCCTGCAGCTGAACGCGTGCCAAGCCCGTGCCACACCGGACCTTACGAGCTCTGTTTGCAGTTTGCACGTGACGCTCCCGTATGACTCACCAACTCTGGGAACAGGCCGCGCCGCGTCTGGCGCCCCCTGTCGGTCAGCAGGAGAACTGCACAGGCCTTGTGTGATGAGCAGGGGTTGTAAATAATGGTTAAATTAATAAATCCTCCACGAGTTAACTGACTTTACGTTAAGTTAAAGTTTTTAATTGTCATATATACCAAATACCAAAACTGAATGTGCAGATGGAGTAAAAGTACTGTCAGATTATGTCAGGTTGAATTTAGTGTCCCAACAGCAGTTTTGAAGCCTTGACACATATTTTTAGTTGGATTCAGGTCTGGACTTTGACTGGACCAGTCTAACACATGAACATGCTTTCATATAACCCATTCCAATGTTGCTCTGGCTGGACTTTCCTGTTTTTTCCTGGTGGAAGGTGAACCTCCATGCAGCCTCCAGTCTTTTGCAGCCTCTAACTCAGGGGTGCCAAAAGTTTTTCCCTGAGAGGGCCAAATTTAAAGTCCATCAGAGGTCTGCGGGCCAAATGCAAACATATAATTCATGAAATGCAAATACTTCTTTAAGTAAAGTCCATTTATTTATTATAGTTATTTAACCTTCCATTTTGAATAAAGAACATTACAGAACACAAAATATAACAAATGTCATGTATAAGAAATTAAAACAGATATTGAAATTTTGGCATTTCAGTATGTATATGTAGTGCAAAATGTAAAAAAAAAATGCATGTCCAACAGCAACACAACTTAACAGCAACAATAATTTAACATAAATAAACAGTCCTATATGTACGGTAGTGATTGGGCCGACTTTTCCATCTAACATTAAAGTCAACGGTGGAATGACTGATTGATTCTTCAAAGGACATTTTAATATAGAAAGGAGGACAGCTTGGCAGACCAACTTTGGCTCGCGGGCCTCACTTTGGGCACCTCTGCTCTAACTGGTTTTCTGTCCTGTATTTAGCTCCATCCATCTTCCTGACCAGTTTCCCTGTCCTTGCTGAAGTAAAAAGCATTGCAGCAGCATGATGCTGCTTCCACCATGTTTCACATTTGGTGTGTTGAACTGTGCAGTGTTAGATTTTCTTTGTTTTTAGTGCATTTAGGCCAAAAGGCTTAGTTTTTATGTGAGCAGAGCACCTATTTTCACATATTTACAGATGTATGGGGTCTTTTGGTTGCTGCTCAGTCAGAATAATAACAGAATAGTAATAACAGCCATGTTTTGGTAGGTTTGCAGTCTCATACCCTTTCCATGTTCAGATGGTGGATTAAACTGCGAAACGTTCAAAGCTTGGGATATTGTTTTATAACCAAATCCTGCTTTAAACTTTAACAGCTGATCTGTTCCTTGGTCTTCATAATGCCATTTGATCTCCAATGCTCTGTAAGAAACCTCTGAGGTTTTCAAAGAACAGCTGGATTCATAATAAAAACACACACAGGTCAAGCAGGTGACCTCTTAAAACCAATAATTAACTCATGGTATCAAAGTAAAGGGGTTAAATAAATCAAATACTCTCAGTACTTAAGTAGGATTATAGGATGATCATTTGGAGCAACGAAACAGTACAAGGCAACATTCTGCCCTTATCGCTTGAATTTCCCTGTGGGGGGAATATGTGTCTCCAGGGTCCACATTTTAAGAAATGTTTCTAAAAGAACGAGGCAGCTGAAAATGACACGTTCTCCATCCTGAGCTCTTCCAGGGCCAACACTCAATACTCCGCTTTGATTCAGCTCACACAGCAGCACATGCATAATTGGTTTCTGGATCCAATCTTATGTAGAGATCAATAACCTTTTTGCCATCAGTGGGCGAAACGCAACAAACGCGCAGCAGACGTCTTCACGAAGGCCTTTTCCAGACGGGTGCCCTCCGTTCCCTCTGGTGCTGTGCGACCCGGCACACTGGCTCCATCCACCGCTTCCCATTACATCCAGCGCACAAACACAAAGAGCCGCCCGCTCAGAGGCTGTGAAGCGTGAACCCAGAGCCAAACACCAATTAATGCTGGATGGTTGGACTGGCTGAATGATGGGAACTGTACTGGAGGGTGGCAGGTCACACAGATCCAGAGGATGTAGCAACAGAGACAAACAGTGTGGCTATATTGTCTTAATCCAAAATTTAAATGTTAACTTTTTCTAGTAAAAAGTGAGTTATACAAAAAATTATATATATTTTACCCCTAAAAGGTTCAAAGTCATTTATCGTCATTCACATCACATGTGGTCCATGTGGTGGAAGGAAATTGTAGTGAAGGTTCCAGTTACAACCAAAAACAGCAAAAATATGAAGTATAGAAATAAACGGTATACAAGGTTATAAAATATACACTAAACAATACTAACATAAAATAATATGGTGCATTAAACAACAATAAAAACATTAAAACTGTTTTCAAAAACAGGCACCTCTTACATTTAGAGCAAATTAAGTTCATCTCTCTCTCTCTTTTTTTTTTAATGTTCTTGAACCAAATCCTGAGAGTTTAGTATCTAGGTGGCACAGTGGATCAGGTGGTAGAGCTGTTGCCTCTCAGCGAGAAGATCGCAGGCTCAAATCCCGGCCGGGGTCTTTCTGGGTGGAGATTGCATGTTCTCTCCGTGCTTGCGTGGATTTTCTCCAGGTACTCCGGTTTCCTCCCACAGACCAAAAACACGCATGTTAGACTGATTGGTAACTCTAAATTGTCTCTAGGTGAGAGAGTGAATGGTTGTTTGTCTCCGTGTCCCCGTGATGGACTGGAGACATGTTCAGGGTGTCCCCTGCCTCTCACATTGATTGCTGGATATGGACACCAGTGACCCCCCACATCCCAATAAGGAAGCAGTGGGTAAAGATGATGGATGGATGTAATTGCCTCTCATTATCACAGCAGTTGTTTCCTCAACTCTCAGACCCATGAACGCTGTAATATGGAGCAAATCAAATCTTCTGAGATGTGAAAAACATCTAAAGGTTTGAAGCCAGACAAACACACTTGCTTTAGTTAGTCAGGGTTCCAGTTTATTTTTTATCAATACAGGCATACTATCATAAATTAAGACAAATTCAAAGTTTTCCAGTTACTGGTAAAAGTTTTAGTACCTCAGACTGAACTGTGCCTGGCACACATGAGAACAAGGCTTGTAAGAACATAATGATTACCTGATTATCAAAGTAAGAACGAGGTTTATAAACAGATTTGAAGGAAAATGAGATCATCAAATGTCCTGAGATAACGAACTTCTTCATTCGTGAATTTGGTTTTCAACAATGATTGTACCTCAAGTGTCTAAAGTGTGCAAGCAAACATTATTAATTTAGGATTTTTTTTTGCTATAATCATATTCTTCTTATCCATAGTCACAACAAAGACAATAAGATCACACAGAATGGTCACAGTTCATTAAGTGTCCTCGCAGTGGTGATGGCAGTAAACCCACGAGGCTGCACAAACGTTTTATTTTCAGGAGCCTTCAGTTCACCATGAAGAGCGGGTTCATCAGCATCTCCCAACATGAAAAGACGCAAACAAACAAAAAGGTGGACGACAAACAAATACACACACACACAAAGCCTTCCATGGTTCTTACTGATTCTTCTCATGGCCGAGGGCCCGGTTAACAGCTGACAGAAGAAACAAACAAAATAAACAAAAGGGGAAAATATGACTTACTTAAAATGTAAAAACTCTATAAAAAATTAATCAAAAAATGTAGTCCATGATTTTACATGTGATTACTGTGAATTTGAATGTTACATGTTTATGTACACTGTTGGAGACTGACCCTCCTTTGCGACGGTCTCAGTGAGGTTCTTAGCCTTGCCACTCAGATCGTTGACCATGGTGTCCATGGTAGCCTGGTGTTTCAAGAAAAACGGCCGAATCACACGCGTGTACAAGATGTCAGAACCGTTCCATGTCACCGGAGCCATACACCAGATCAAGAAGAGGCACTGAGGAGAGAGCAGAGAGGACATCTGAGATCAAATGTGGCTCTGTAGATTCTTTTCCACAGAAACTGGAGATATATATATATATATATATATATATATATATATATATATATATATACATTTTACTGGTTTACATATTAACAGTTAACATTAAAACCTTATGAGATTTTTTTAACTGATGACAAAAATAGTGTACTTCTAAAATTAAAAAGCCGTGCGTTCAATAAAAGACAAGCGGCCATGTTGCTAAAATGTGTACTGTGCTATAATAGTGCCGTTTTTTTTACCATCACCATAGCTCACATTACAGAATGACATGTTGTTTTAAATCCTATTTTCTCCCAGATTAAATTTAGGGAATGAATACCGTCATAATGGGATTGTAGGGTGACTCTGAACACAATGAAAGCAGGACAAGCTGATGAGGTCATTTAGTCTCAACAACGTTTACAAAATATATCTGCAAGTTAAGAGACAATAAATACAGATTTAAAAAAAGAGAAAATAATTATCCCAATATATACTAAAGACCTAATTTGCCATGAAAATAACTCAGTGAAATTCTGTAACACTATACAGAAACATTAAAAATCAACTGTTGTCTTGACCTGAGCTTATTTAAAATGCAGTGAAGAGCTGTCCGGTGGTCTGTGTACCTGACCTGTGCACTCTGGATCAGACACTCAGGATTTCAGCATTTTGAGGAGCTGAAATCTTACATCCAACAGGAAATTAGGACATGGTAAAATTATTTGCTTTCAGAATTACAGGTTTCATCTCATCAAACAAGCATCAAATAACGTATAAAACAATTTTAGTCAGTAAATGTTTGCTAACATTATCTAACAAGAAACACTAAACATCCAAAGCATAAAAATACTTTTGCAGAATAGTGAACTTTGTCTACATTGGACCATATACAATGTGCCCACAAGAGGGCAGTGTTGGTACACATGTGTACTGAGATCCAACTAAAACAAATTTCATTTTGTATAATTTAACTAAACATTAAGAATTCAACATCGTGCAAAAGGTACTTGCTTCTCATCTCATTACCGAGTAACATTACCAACAAGACGTTGGGTGGAGACATCACAGTCAGTAACACTGAAACTATTATTTATTAATTGCAATTTGTAGAAAAAGCAGCCGTCTCAGAACCAGGTTTTAAATATTCAGTAGTACATCTGATGAATAAAAACCTGGACTTGATCCTTCAGTTCATTCAAATTTTAGACCAATTTCAAAACGTCCCTTTCTCTCAAAACTCTTGGACAATATTTAATCATCTTTCAGCAAATGGTTGAGTTGTAACGGTTGACCCCAGTTTTCTTATTTCTCATTTACAGCACTGGGTTGGGATCACGTGCAGCGTTAGACTGGTTCTGTTCCTGCCAGAGGGACAAAAGCTTCTGTGCAATGTTGGAAATTGTCTGTCCACAGCAACACCTCTTTTCTGTGAGGTTCCTCAGGGGTCAATTCTTAGACTGCTCCCGTTTTCACTCTCCCTGCTCCTTTTCAGGTCTGTTCTTAGAAAACATGTATTTCCTTCCACTGTTATGCCAGATTACTGCCAGATTTACTTTTCTTTAAAGCTAGACAATTCTTTATCAATCCACCCTCTACTACATTGTCTTACAGACGTCAAGGTTTATGTGGCTTTAAGCTTTAAAAATTACAAAAAAAAAAAAAAAAAAATGTTACTGTGCTCAGTTCTAGCTCTACTGCTGGCATTGTCCTGCAAACTTTGTCTCTCTGTGAACCACAGAGTTGATGTTAAAATTCTTATACTGATTTGGAAATATCTTCATGGTCTTGAACCTTCATATCTCTGACTTGCTTCAACGTTATGTTCCTGCTGAGACCACGTGATCACCTGTTTTTGGTTGGCTCTAAAACTAGGTCAAACTCAAAGGACTAAGACTCGATGGGCTTCTTCACTTTCTGTTTTTAAAAACACGTTGCTCTCAGTGACATTTAACTCAATGTGAGCTGATTTTGTCTTGTTATAATGTCCACTTCTTATTCTTTTGATTATTTAATGTTGTTTTCTTCTTTCTTGTTTTGACCTTTGTCTTATATCTTTCATTATTGTTGTGCTGCACTTTAGTTACAATCTGTTGTTTTTTTTTAATATACTTTATAAATAAATTGACTTGACTTGCATGCAGACACTATATTTTCAGCTTGGGAAAAAAATGATTAAAATTATCTTGTTGCTATTTATCCAATTTTCTAGAACTGGAAAGAAGTAAAGTTTGTGATTTAATGTATTTTTTATTGTTTACCCCAGTAGTAAGCATCTGTCTAACATTATTATACATAAGAGTATTTGTGTAAAAAAGAAATACAATATAATAAATTGGCCTACCTTGCCAGCATAGTAAAAGGGGAACCAGAAGAGGAAGATGTCGGAGAAGGCTTCCACTATGCTGAAAAGCCCATAAACAACCCAGTAGGTGAGCCACTGCGTGTCGTCCTCTTTAACACTGCTCTCAATGGCCTTGATGCTGAACAAACAGGGACAGTGTCACTTCAGAAATGTGATGTAAACCTCAAGTTTTACTCCTAATTTTTATTTTCAAAAAGTTCAATAAAGTTCTCTTTGAAAAAAGAAAAAGCTATTTTGTTCTGCTCCCATGGTTTAAATTGTGTGCACAAATTTAACAGAAAAAGTGTTGAAAGGGTTAAACACATAAAACCTTCATCTGTTTTATGAAAAGACATTGGAAAACTTTTAAACTTTTAGAGTCCTTACAATCATTTTAAAGACATTTGTTTTTTGAGAGTAAGCAGATTTTTTCCTAGTTAAAACAAGAAGCTTCATCTAAAACTAAGAGAAAGCAGAAACGTAAGTTAGAATCATTCATGCATTTAATTTGTATTTTGATTAAAAATGAAAAGAGCCCTTAAACACAGCTCTTCAATAGCTACATTTGATAAATATGTCAGTAACACAGCTGGAGTCTACCGTATTTTTTGCACTTAAGTTGCATTTTTTTGCATCATTACATGCCCTGTGACTTATACACCGAAGCAACATATTTATGATTTTTTTCCCATATTTAAAAAAACAAGTTATGGCTGAGATATGACCGTTTTCATTCATTCTGACATTGAAAATATTGAACACTTCCATTTTCAGCCGCTAGATGGCAGTCGAGGTATATGGCATGCAGTTGTATCATGTAATAGGTAAAAGTGGCTATTAATGACACAATCGGCTTGCCAAAGTTTCCCACCTTCGTCCAGCTTATTTGGAGCAACCATCAAATCAGCTTCACTTCAGTGCGCCGCCCTGGCAAAATGCAGCTGATTTGACCACTGAAGTAAATTTATCAAATAAAAGTTAAACTGAGACACACCTTCAATATAATTTCTAGCAAACAAATAATTGTTTTTAAGTGTTAATCTTGTTAAATTCTTGTTAAAGTCCTCCCGTGCACGCTCCCGTGGCCGCCATTTGGCAGCCAAATCAATTTTTGGCACAACACCGGCCCACATTTCCGGTTTGTCAGCGGTGGCGCATAATAGATGCGACGTATTTATGGATTGTTCCACTTTATTAGACATATTTGGACTGATGTGACAGAGGGCGGTGTGACGTGTACAGCGGAAAATATGGTATCTGTAGTCCAATGAAAGATTTGGACAGGCCTAATTAATAAAATTATAGGATAAAAATGTGCTTTAACAGACATTAATGGTTGTCTGCTAAATGGTTTTTAAGCTTAGATTAAATAAAATGGTAAAAACTAGAGAAAAAAAGTGAAACTTGCTTTATTGTGTGTGCTTTGATACTAAAATAGAACTGAAGTTACACGTACGAGAAGTATGCAGGATAAATGAAGCCAATCAAGTTGCAGAGTAAGGAGGCTCCATATCCAAACAGAAGGTAGAGGCCGATGATACCAAGAACACCTGCAGAAAGAAAGATAAAGAGGCGGTGAGGTGAGAGCAGAGGGTGGGGCAGGACACGGAGGGCGAGGTCATCATGTTACTGTACAAACATTAAGGCAAGGCTCGTTCACTTGTCTGATAAAAGGCTGTAAAGATGGAACTAGAAAGAACGCCAAACTGAAGTCTGTATGACGTTTGTAGTGTAATGAGTTTTAAAAAGCAACGCTACAAAGAAGACAAGTATAACATTTAAGATAAAAATGCAGAGAATGAAGAAAAACCAGTAACTAAGTTTTGAGTTCAGATTAATAACTTGTTTTTAAAGACCTCTAGAAACTCTTGTTACTGTCTGGTTCTTTTTTATCCTCCAACCTTTCTCTTGGTAATTTCTTTAAAAACACTCAGCCTGATTCAACTGTTTTTAAAGCAGGCTATTGTTTAAAACAGTTTTTTTTTAAGGTTTATTACAGATGTTAAATATCTGTCAGTTTACTGTTGTTGTCCGTTAGAGCTCTTGGACACATCTTCTTGCAGCTACTGGTAATGCCAATAATTTATGCAAATCAAACCTGCTGATATAAAACTTAAATACCTTCAGGTCATAAACATCACGAGGTCACATGGACCTGAGCAGTAAAAGTCCTCAATCAGCGCTTTAACCAGTAGCTGCTCTTTGCATCTCATTTGTTTCTGTGCAGCTATCAGTGGCTCCAGCACTCGTCAACGAAGAAAGAACTGGGCAAACCGGTCAAAGTAAGGACCACAGTTCATCTATACAACAAGTTACCAGAAGCACACGTTACAGTCTGAGAGGCAGCGCGAAGGGATTGATGAATGATCCAGAACTGGCTACTTCAACAGGAACAATCTAAACTATTGACACACGCCAAACTACCAGTACAATCATGTGTCACGCTGTTGTAGGAAAAACAAAAGCTGCTAAAATAAAATAAAATAAACGCACTGGGCGTACACATGTAATGCTCCACAGCGTGGCAGAAACATCAGCATTGTTAAAAATGAAGTTCTGCTTCACAGTAAATTATCACACACACAAAGAACAATTGTTGCAAATTCTAACGAGGATAGAAGTCAGTTTGGAAAAACAAGAAGCTAACAAACAATAGCCGCTAGCTCGATGTGTCAGTGTTCACATTAAAGTGGAGGTCCGTGCACAGCCTCCAGGTGGACACACCTCAGTGTCATGTTTCTCAGCATTGTGCCCTCCTTCCTGTGACTGAACCAGATTAGGGCAAAGCACAAGATAAAGCCAAATGTAAGAATTTATGTGCAGCACGTCGATGTCACGATAAGCTCAGTGCTGTTAAAATGTAAAAACTGGAGGTCTGCAAGTTCACAGAGCACTCATGTTTATGAAGGCAAGACGGTAAGAATCAGCTGCTCCACTAAATGGTACTGTACGTTCTCTAAATATATAGTACCTGCTCAAAGTGCTTTACAACACAGTCTGTGGCCTCTCGTACCCTTCTACACACACTCCTACACCAACAGGGTACAATGGAGGCAGAAAGGGGTTTAATGTTTTGCCCAGACATGTTGACATGTGACTGCATACATGAAACTCAGACTCTCGTTGAAAGACGCCTGCTGCAACCACTAAGCCACAGGTTAGAGAGGAGTTCACATACATTTGTATTTATTATAGCAACAACTGAACCTGCCTGCGACCTGTCCAGGGTGTCCCCGCCTCTCGGACAGTGACTGCAGGTTATGGGCACCAGTGACCCCCTGCTTAGGATTTTACATTTCCAACTCAAAGTTGTTTGTTCTGTAAGAGTTTAATGAAGGTTTGTCAATTAGTTTAAACTTCTCCAAAATGACAAATTGCACTCTGTGTATTTATCAAGCATTGTTAATACATTCCCCATAACCATTTTGAGTTGTTTTGTTTTTTTAGATTGACCTCTATACAGACCAAAAACATGCATGTTAGTCTGCCTTCAGGGGCCTCCCTTGCAAAACACATCTGTGATCTCAATGGGATTTGCCTGGTTAAATAAAAGGTTAATAAATTAAATAAATAAATACAAACCGGATTCCAAAAAAGTTGGGACATTAAACAAATTGTGAATAAAAACTGAATGCAATGATGTGGGGATGGCAAATGTCAATATTTTATTCGTAATATAACATAGATGACAGATCAAAAGTTTAATCTGAGTAAATGTAACATTTTAAAGGAAAAATATGTTGATTCAAAATTTCACAGCATCAACAAATCCCAAAAAAGTTGGGACAAGTAGCAATAAGTGGCTGGAAAAAGGAAATTGAGCATATAACTAACAGCTGGAAGACCAATTAACACTAATTAGGTCAACTGACAACATGATTGGGTATAAAAAGAGCTTCTCAGAGTGTCAGTGTCTCTCAGAAGCCAAGATGGTAAGAGGATCACCAATTCCACCATTGTTGTGCAGAAAGATAGTGCAGCAATACCAGAATGGTGTTACCCAGCGTAAAATAGCAAAGACTTTTAAGTTATCATCATCAACCGTGCATAACGTCATCAAAAGATTCAGAGAATCTGCAGCAATCACTGTGCGTAAGGGTCAAGGCCGTAAAACTCTACTGGATGCTCGTGATCTCCGGGCCCTTAAACGTCACTGCACTTCAAACAGGAATGCCACTGTCAAGGAAATTACAGAATGGGCTCAGGAATACTTCCAGAAAGCATTGACAGTGAACACAATCCACCGTGCCATCCGCCGTTGCCAGCTGAAACTCTACAGTGCAAAGAGGAAGCTATTTCTAAGCAAGCTCCACAAGCTCAGACGTTTGCACTGGGCCAGGGGTCATTTAAAATGGAGTGTGGCAAAATGGAAGACTGTTCTGTGGTCAGATGAGGCACGGTTTGAAGTTCTTTATGGAACACTGGGACGCCATGTCATCCGGACCAGAGAGGACAAGGATAGCCCAAGTTGTTAACGCTCCGTTCAGAAGCCTGCATCACTGATGGTATGGGGTTGCATGAGTGCTTGTGGCATGGGCAGCTTGCATGTCTGGAAAGGCTCCATTAATGCAGAGAACTATGTTCAGGTTCTAGAACAACATATGCTCCCATCTAGACGTCATCTCTTTCAGGGAAGACCCTGCATTTTTCAACATGATAATGCCAGACCACATTCTGCAGCAATCACAACATCATGGCTACGTAGGAGAAGGATCCGGGTACTGAAATGGCCAGACTGCAGTCCAGATCTTTCACCTATAGAGAACATTTGGTGCATCATAAAGAGGAAGGTGCAACAAAGAAGGCCCAAGACGATTGAACAGTTAGAGGCCTGTATTAGACATGAATGGGAGAGCGTTCCTATTTCTAAACTTGAGAAACTGGTCTCCTCTGTCCCCAGACGTCTGTGGAGTGTTGTAAGAAGAAGGGGGGATGCCACACAGTGGTCAAAATGGACTTGTCCCAACTTTTTTGGAATCCGCTTTGTATATTTTCTCAGTAAATAAATCTGTTTAAGGCCCAGAGAGTCAAACTACTATTAAATCGATCAGTTTGTTGTAATAAAACAAAGAATATTTTCTAATTACAGCTGCTCAGTCATTTTCAGATCTCATCTTTTATGCTGAGAATGCATTATTAATAATTCTGACATGGCTTTTCAGAGCTTAATGGGTTCAGAACTGTTTGAAAGGTCTATTAGTTATTAGTGTGTGGAGGAGGCACTTTAGGCCTTAACCTGCACTGTGCAAAATAGAAGCTTTTACCACATCCACGTTCTCAAAGCAGCACAGCTCACTAAACTGGTTCAGAGTAGGTAAAAAAGGGAAGGTTAAATGTTTTAGTAACATATTTTAGATTGTATTTACAATCACACCAATTAAGGCTCTGCCAGAATCACTGCATCAGGACTCTAAGTGGGAAAAATAACTCATCACTTATTTTAGGTCTAAAATAGTCTGGTAGCAATTACATTTCTCTATACATTTCCATTAACATCGTATCAAACAACAATCATCAGAAGAGCAAAAAGAAAATCAGATATTTGACCAAAACTATCATTCTTACATCAACTCCACCTACTTGTGTCATAAGGACAGAACAACGATCTGTCGCCGTGCAACAGATGGATCAAACTCTAAATACAGTGGTGCTTGAAAGTTTGAACTCTATAATTTTTTATATTTCTACATAAATATGATCTAAAACATCATCAAATTTTCACACAAATACAAAAAGTAGATAAAAAGAACCCACAAATGAGACAAAATATTATAGTTGGTCATTTATTTATTGAAGAAACTGATCCAATATTACATATTTGTGATGATAAAAGTTTGTGAACCTCTAGGATTATCAGTTAATCTGAAGGTGAAATTAGAGTCAGGTGTTTTCAATCGACGGATGATGATCAGGTGTGAGTGGACCCTGTTTGATTTAAAGAACAGGATCTATCAGAGTCTGATCTTCACAACATGTTTGTGGA